AACAATCCCCTGTGCATTTTTTTTTGAGTTTGTTGACTCTCTCGCCTTTTTTTTTTTCCAGGTGGGCTCTGTTTCCTAGTAGCATGCTTCAGCTTCTTTAAGAAAGGTCTTCCTGATTCAGAGGTAGCAGACAAAAAACTCCACATAGTTTCAAAATGGCTGCTTCCTGTGCTGTGCTGCCAGTGCAAACTCTGACTCTTTCAGGAGACCCAGCGTTTAAATGGAGTCTGTGAGCACAGTGATATAACTGGATTAATAGCAACATAGACCCACGGTGTGCCTAAAAATGGGGCAATGTACTTGGCTCTCAGAGGTGGCAAATATGCCTCAGCTGTGTTGGACTGGATGGAAAAAGCAGGCAGGGTCGTGTTGGCCCTAGCCATGCCTGCTTAGCATTTAGCATTAAAAATGGGGAGGGGGGTGCTTCTAGGCAGAAAATAATTACAGATGAACAATAAAGACAGATTCAGATTTTAAAAAAGACATCTAAATGGGTCACAGTGTTAGATAAATGTATGTAGGCTTGGGAGAGAGAAGAAAAAGAATATAGACAGACATAAAAAGAAGTAAATGTTTTTTTTAAAGTAAAGTCTTTAAAGAGACAGAGTACAGACAGTCATAGATTAAAAGGAGTAAAGAAAAATATGCCACGTAAAGATGGAATATACACAGAGAGTCTGGATTATGTATATTACTGTGTTTTCTTTGAATTTTTTGACTGTGAAGGAGCTCTAAGTACAGAGACACATTTCATTGTGCAAGCTGCTAAGCTAAACCAACATATATATCTTAAAAGTATCTTGTCTTCAAATTTGGGTATAAGAATATGTTTCTTCGAATAATAGGTTCTTCTTTTGTTTCCACAGAGGATGAGAACCCATGAATTTATTCTAGATTAATGTGGTTTTATGGACCAAGACCTCCACCACAAAAGATCATCATGAACACCCCCCAAAAATACTTCACTCAACAAAGAGTTGGAAGCAGTTTGGAGAGAACTATGCCCCAATTCCCTAAATGATTGTTTATAAATGTTTGTATACATGCACGAAATTTCCAAAGAATAGACTGTAAAAGTTGGGGAGGTGAGCTAATGCCATTGACATCTCTAGATCCTGCCTGCTGACCCATTTTGAAAAAGTTTCAGATGAATTCTTGCATAGCTGTGCAGTCTGTAGCACTGACTTAAACACAGCTACATCACGGCTGTGTGAGGCACGCTGGGTGCTTCCCCTGACTAAGAAAGGCATGCTTCTTCCAGTGAACCCCCAACAATTCTACTATGTTTTCCTCATTCCGGCCTTTCTTTTCTCTTCACGTGTCTTATAATGTTGTTGTGTTGTGTTTTGTTTTTAAGATGGATGATTGAAATAATTTGGTGCTCTGGTGTTTTGGTATGAACAATTTCCCATCTTATTAATGTTCTTTGAGAAGTTATTTCCAGCACCCCTCCTTAATCCAGGAATCTAAATCCTATCCTGATAAGATCTTCCAGGCTCTTTTACCTTAAGTATCTGCAGAGACTCTTTCTGAAGCACTCAGTCAACATTAAGAAGATGGCCACAAAGACCGAAGCACTTGATACAGAGTCCCTGATAACACACACTTCACGCACAATAAAAAGCCAATATTTTTTGTTTGGAAAGTTAGCTTAAATGAGAACACTTCTCTCTTATTGACTAAGTCTTCCTTATTGAAAACACACTTCTCAGGCAGATAAAGAAATTTACACTCTCTATTCATTAGGTGTTTAATCTTTGTATTCTCTTGGTGACAAAAAAAAAAAAAAAAGAACCATTAGCACAAGGAGACTCTTTCCTGATGACAGAGATAGATGCCAGTGAAAGGAAGGCAGTGAAGGTGAGGTAGCATAAGGCTTTGTTACCATAGTAACACTAAGTCTGAGCTTATAAATGTGTTGTCTCCACTATGAAAGATGCATTAACATTCCTTTAAGTCTGCTCTTGGAAACCTTGTCATCCTGGCTAGCCTGTTTACTTCCTTATCTCTTAAGAGAAGCTAGACTTAATTAACACTTAAACATTAACCTGGAAGACATCATGGGAGTTGGGTGTGGGGAATAATATGAGTGTGTGACTCTGGAAACAGCATAGTAGAATTGTGATCATTATGAAATGTTCAAATTCCGAGAGAAGCCACAATGTTATAGTTATAAGACTCCGTTCCTGGTGGTTCAGAAAATCCGGGAAATGATCCCCCATGACTTGATACATGCACCTGAGATAACTGGAGAGAGAAATGCGGAGCTTTGGAAATCAAAGCTTAAAATCGAAATGGCCACCTAGCCTGCCACAATTGTTCATGTAGTCCCAGCAGATGTTTGCCTCTGCATGGTTACAGGACCTCCAAAGCAAACCACTGGAATGGTGGGTGCATCTGTAGTGACGAGGTAGGCTGCTGTCCTATGACTAGACAGTCACCATGATTAGGGAAACTACTGCCTCAGCTATTTCTTCGCTTTGAAACAAATGTTCTGACAAGCGTGGAATGTTATAATTTGCTTTGAATGGCTGTTTATTACAAACTGCTGTTTCCTTTATAGAAGCAGTGTTTGGAGTCACCTTTCTATGACTCTCTCTCTCTCTCTCTCTCTCTCTCTCTCTCTCTCTCTCTCTCTCTCTCNCTCTCTCTCTCTCTCTCTCTCTCTCTCTCTCTCTCTCTCTCTCTCTCTCTCTCTCTCTCTCTCTCTCTCTTTCTCTCCTTCCTACCTCCCTCTCCCTTCCTTCAAAGGACATCCTATGAGTTCTCTATTAAAATTCATTTTAAAGGTTGAGAATTTTCAAATGATTTTCTCAGTTCCTTCTGAACTCTAAAATCAGCCTCACTGGGGCTCTTTCCTAAAACTCCTCTTGTTTGCAAAGCAGGAGGAATTCTGACTGACACCAGAGCAGGGTTCTATTGGTTAGGACATCAACTTCTCCAAGCTGACTGTCAAGTTTGCCTGACAAACTTTTATCCTTCAGATTTTAGTTTATATATAATTTTCTTTAAGAAAACTCTCCTTGCTCTGCAAAAAAATCCACCAGTCTCCTCCTCAGTTTTTTTTTTTTAATCACTCAGTACACTTTTAATTCTCATTCAACGCCCACCTTCCCCATATTCAAAGGGTCCCAAACAAATGGCTTCCTATGATTGCCAGTTTCCTCAGGACCATACCAACTACCTCACACACACACATCACTGGCTCTGTTTCCTGTGAATAGAACGATGCACTAAACAGTTGTCTGGTTGACCTGGCCTTCCCTGTAAACCACTTCAGTATCTATATCTGAGACAAGATAGGAGAAATGTGGTTTACAGAAATTTTGGACATATGCCTGGATGAACCCACAGTTAGTGGCACAGTCTGACATCTTGGGGGACGTGCAGGGATTCCTCCCTCTCCCTCCCTGCTCTATTCCACTTGAGGAATAGTGTAAATAGTGCAACGGTAATGGGTCCTGTCCAAGGTCAGGGAGTCCTCCATATGGCAATGGATGAGTCTCTTGTTCCCTTATGTTTTCTTTACACCTGGGGAGAGAACTCTTATCCGTAGAGAGTATTTTGAAATTTGTCAGTTTTACTAGGTTTTGGTTTTTTTTTTTTTTTTTACAATATGGGGAAAATATTAAAACTAAAAGTGAGTGAGGACGATTCGAGATAAATAAATCCTGGAAACAGGATTTCTTGTCCCTCTTCATCCTCAGCATTGATTCCGAACACACTGCGTTAGCAATATCAGAAGGGAACGTGCATTATACAAACGCTTGGTTATCCTGGTTCCTCACAAATCTGTGTGAGAATTCTGACAAAGATTTATTTTCTCATTTGGAAATTATTTATAATAAAGGCATAATATCAAATAAACACTTGTAAGACAAATAATAAATTGCTTTTCTTGAAGTGGATAACATTAAATTAACTCCAGATTGCTTATAAAACCGGCACGCTGGAAAGAAAACCAAACTTGCAGTCTGAGGCCAGAGCTCTAGCACACTTTTTTGCTTTAAATCATCTTTGTGCCTGCTTGAGCTTCAGTTTCCACACAGCAGCTCTGAGAGGCACAGGGCTTACACGATCCTTACAGTCACGTGCTCCCAGAATCCTGACATGTTCAGAAGTTCCAGATGGCGGCTGCCAAAGCTGCCCTCTCCTTGGAAAGAAGGAGCAGCTGTCTTAAGCACAGGAGCAGATGAGGTTCAGTGCGAGAGGAGACCAAAGGCTTTGGATTTGGGGGAAAGAATACATATCCCATACTCAGTATTGCCCTCACAAAGGACCGCAAGCTGGGTGGTTTTTAATGAAGTTAAAATTTATTTCATCACAGATCTGTACCATGTGACCATGCTTCCTCTAAAGACTATGAGGGAGGGGGGCATTGCCAGGTTGTTTTTTTTTTTTTTATTTTTATTTAAAGCTTTTCGCATAATGCATTTTGATCTTGTTCTTTTACCTCCTCCAACTTCTCCCAGATTTTCTCCCACTTCCCTACCCATCCAACTTCACATTGTTTTCCTCTGCTGCTGCGCACCGTACCCCTGTGTCTGAGCGTCGGGCTAGGGGGCTGGAGATTAAAATACAGAAACACACACAGACAGAGAGACAGCGACACGGGTCATCCTTGAATTCTCCATGAATGCCCCCTTTATTGTGTTCAGGGGCAGATTTTATAGAGATAGCCACGCCCCAGCCAAACCCACCAGAAACCACTCTCCTGCCATCAGGAACTCCTGAAGGTCTGGTGCTCAGAGCAGCTGCAGGCACTCAGATCAGGGGATTACAAGAAATTCAGGATCTGGGGTCTCACTGCTCCCAATACTCTGCCAATCCCAAAACATGAAAAACAATAAAAATCAAAACAAGCATGTTCAATTCTTGGTATGAGGTACAATGAAGCCATTCTCCTCTGTCTTATGATCTGCTGCTGGCTTTCCTGTCCCTTTACGAGACAATCCCTGCCCACTCCCCCCTTCCTCCAGTCTGTGTGTGCACGCTCTCTCTGTCTCTGTCTCTGTCTCTCTCTCCCTTCCCTTTCCCTTCCATAACCCACTAAATAGACTATACGCACCCACTCTACCTGACATGCTTATCCGTTTCTCACCCATCCTGGCTCCTCCTGGGACCGGCTGCCGAGATCTCTTACCTGCTACCTCTCACCAGCCTGGGACCCACAGAGGGCTCAGGTGGTGGGATCCACTGCCCCTCATGGCTTGTGGTGGTCTCTCACCTGGTCTAAGAGGTCTAAGAGAAAATAAGATCACGTGAGCAGAATAACCTTTTGCTGATAATAGCTTTGTTTCTGTCTGCCTGGAGTAGAAAACTTGCAGTGTTATGCTGAAATTATTCCTTGTTTAGAAGCAAGTTATGTAGACAGTGATAATATACTATATGTTCAAAACAGACAAAAGTGAAAAAGAAAAAATATAGAACAAAAGATTTTAAAGTTTTCACCAAAGTAAAATAACAAGTATTGTGAGAGAAATATGAATGATATTTTAACATTATATAATACAAATTCCAAATACTACAAAACACATTTTAGAAATTACAAATGAAGCTCATTTATTAATGTTTCTTGACTGTAGTTTAAGTAATTTGTGTTGAATGCTAGTTACGGATTAAAAGTTTGCAATTGAGAGCATGCAATCTGCATTTTCTTGTCATTCTCCCTTGGGTTCTGGGGTCTTGAGACGAGATCAGTTTGATTCATCGCTGAGTACATAGGAAACAGGCATTGGTTGAGAGTGTGCACCTTTCTAGGTCAGATTGGAATTCTAAGAAGAATGCATTTAAAGAGAGACATCGGCCAGGCATGGTTGCCACACATCTGTTTTTCCAGCACTTGAGTTCCTAGAGCAGGAGTTTGAGAACAAAAACACACCCTGAGTGACAATGTGGGACTTGGTCTCAAGAAGAAAGGAGATAAGGATGCTCACAACAGGAGCCCTTGCTATCCAGATGAAAAGATATGTACACAAGGTGTATGCAAAAGTCCATTTCATAAATTCAGAAGAAGCCCCAGCCCCTTTCTGCCACCCCCACTCCATCTTCTAATGAGCTGAAGAAATGAAAGTACTAAGAAACATCTGGGGGAAACGCAGCCCAGGTAACAGGCCCATTAAAAACATGGAATTTAATAATCAGATTATAGAAAACTCCCTCTCTAAAATTTTATTACCATGCCTCAGTATCCTAACAGAGGACCACAGTTTAGGGACCAGGCTGTCTTGGGTTCCTTGAGATAAATAAGAACAGCGCTGGAGTTGTCAACCTCTGTCACCATAGTTTAGGAGACATTAAGCACATTTAGCTTAGTTTATCAAACATTAAGTCAGATTAATGAACATCTTCCACAATGGTCTCTTTAACTTATTCAGATTACACAATATACTATGAATAATATTTTCTAAAAAGGAGTTGTGTTCATCCTAAAGAGGCAGGAAATGTTTATAATAATCAGGGTACACTGAGGCACAGATTCTTTATTAGACCAAGGAGTTTACACAATTACAAAGCACAGAAACTAGTCAATCATAAAGAATTTTTCTATATATACTTCCAAGAAATACGATTTGCCCAATCAGGCACTTTAAAGATATCACGGGGAGTCATCAGGGACAAAAATCTACAGAGAAAAATGTGAGCTCTTCAACCAAGCAGATTTATTAACTTTTTTTATGGGGAGCATTTATACTTTCATCCTTCAGCCTTATAAGCATAAAATAAGCAACGTCTATGTCAGACAGCATGCTAGACATAAGTGTTATGGAGAAATATAGCATGGAACCCAAGCACGGAATCAATCCTGTTTATACAAGTTAGAATCTCACTGGGAGGGTGAAGTTAGAGTGAAAATAAGACTTAAGAATGGGAATTTGGAGAGAGGGCAATTATCAGAGGAACAAATGATGCTCGATGAGGTGGCTGGAGCGTCTTCTGTGGAAAACTCAAGTCAGCTCCTGAGGTGGCCAACAGCAGCAGAGACAATGGGAGAAAGAAAGCATTAAGAGATGAAGCCCAGCGTTTGGAACCAGACATTTCAAGTGGTTTCTCTATTTTGCAGTTTGGATTTTACTCTGGGTTGTGTAAAAATTGATTAAACATCCTTAGGAAATAGCCAATGTGAATATAGCTGCTATTTTGTTGTTATTGACGTTTTGTACAGAGGGCAGACTAGAGAGATGAAGTGTTAAAGCCAGGAGACCCACTGGAGGCTACTGCAGCAGGTCCAGGCAAGACAACGTAGGGCTTTAATCACCGCGCTGGTGCTAGGGTAGCACAAGCTTTTCATTTTGGATATGATATCATGCAGGACGAAGCAATTTCCTGATACCAAGAAGTACAGTGTAAAAGAAAAACAAAAACTGAATGACACCGAATCTTCTGGGGGGGGGGAGTTCCTGTTAAACTGGGATTAAAATCATCACAAGAATAAGAAGTTGGATAGAGAAGAAAGCTATGACTACCTTAAACATACGAAATTTAAAATGCCTATCATATTTTGGACTGGTGGTATCAAGCAGAGTCTTGCAAATTTAAGTCAAGGGTTCAGTGGGAGAGTCTAGGCAGGGATACAGAGTTTTGATCCATTTGTATGTAGATGACATTTTACCCTCAAGGTCAGAAGAAATGACTGCAGAATATGTACAGGGAAAGAGAAATGATCCAAAGACTGGGCCCTAGATAACTTCAGTCTCCTAATTTGCAGTCTTCCCCCGTGCTCTTTCTCTACAGTCTCACAGAATCATCTCATAACCATCGTTTAATAGCTTACCTTGCTCTACAGCATGGAAACCCTTTAACGTGATAGAGCCTGAATGAGTGTGATATGGGCCAGACACATGCAAGTAAAATAAACTAAGAGAACCGAAGTCCTTCAGCACACCGATGCATGGCAGTGTATTGACAGCAGTGGGCACACTGTGACGGGATGGGGACGAATGTTCTTGTTAACTCAGGGTCTGGGCATGCACAGGAAAAAGTAAGACATAATGCCAGTCCTTCATACATGCAAGGTAAGATGATAGTCATCTAGTAGACAGTGTGGTAGGATATCTTCATAATACCGCTGCAGACAAAATGTAATAAGAAACAAAGGCAATGCCTGAAGGTGAGGGATTGATACATTTGATAATAAGCTCAAAGTGAATACTCATCAAAATATGCCATCAAGAGAGTGGAAAGGCCAAACACCAAGAAGAGAGGCGCACATATTCAGGTTAAGAACTTGTTTCTTAATCATCTCAAGAATGTCCACATAAAGACAGACAATCTCATAGGGAACAAGGTCAAGGAAACTGGAAAGGCCCCCTCCTCCAACACAAACACACACATAGTAGCTTTAAATATACGATTAAAAAAAAAACTAAATGCAGAAAAGAATATAATAAACCTAAATAAAAAGGAGGACCATTCACGAAAGTCACATATAAGAAGGATTAATAAAAACAAGGGAGCAATTAACTGGGTATAGCTAAACCCTCCCCAAAAATTATATTAATAAAACTAAGAATATACATGCTAAAACCTTGAAATTTTACTCTTCAATATGTAGCTAAAATATTATTGGTCACACCTAGAAACATGCACAAAATAGTTCACAGCGGCATTTTACTGCTGTCAAACTGAAAACAACCCAACATTGTTAATGGTAAAGTGCTTAAATACTTTGTGACATTCCTATTAATAGGTACATGGAGTGCTGAGTGAAATAAGCCAAAGACAAACAAAAGTTTGTATATGTGTGTGCACATGCATGTATGTGTGCACATAAAGCCATTAATTTAAACATAATTTGAAAACAGGTGAAAATGAAAAATATAGTACTCAACAATTCAGGCTTAGAAGGTATAAATAAATGTAATGAACTTAGCCATAATTGGGACATCTCTATTGACCACAGTACGATCAAGACTCTGGAAACATCAAGAAAGAGGAAATGAGAAAAGTGTAAGATCCAGAGGGCAATATCCTTCTACACAAGGCATGTTGCTCACAGTCATAAAGGATGTGCCCCTGTTATGTGCACAAGATCAAGCCAGTCAAAACCCCATCATCCCACGCCACTGAGAAGCTGTTAGAACCAGGCAGTTACTGGGGGAGGGAGAATCATCTTTGGTTGATGAGTCTGCTCTTGTAGGTTTCCACTGTGCTCCACACCTGTGAATGGTCAGCTCTAACTGGAGTTAGTGAGTTTTTTTAAAAAATTAAATAAATCCATTAATTCGGGAGGGGGTATATTGTAGGACTTAGGGGGTGTTGAAGGGGAGAAATGGGAAATAGATGTGATCTAATTTCACTGAAGATGTGCCCAAGATTTCCAAAAATAAAGAACACTTTTATACGCAAGAGAAAAGCAAAGGTGCAATTATCCATCAAATATATAATTCAAAATGTAGCACATTCCAAGAAAGAAAATGGTTCAATTAAGCCTGGACATCCGTACACATACCCCCATGTCTCTATTTTGCTGTCCTCACTTAAGGATGAGCCCATTGTGGATGGGGTTGGAGTTAAGTGAATTGGGGGGTTATTGAACGATTTGTCAGGATCTGGAAATGAGTAGGTTTCTCCTCAGCCAAGGAAAGATGAGCTGCAACACGGAGATCTTTCCTAATGTAGTCTCTTTGTTTTATAAAAATAATAGCTACTGATTTATGACTTACTGGGAAATATTTAACAACTTTATAAATAGCACCAGTCTGGCGCTGTAGACCTTGGCTTCTTTCTGACTTCAGTGAGGTCACTAGCTGGGCATGTGGGTTCAGGCATGCTGTTTTCTCCTGTGGACCTCTCTATCTGTGAGGGGACCAAAGATGGCGGCTACATTCCTTTTTACTCTAGAGTCTAAAACTCTGGACAGTGCTGGGGACACAGCCCCACTGGCAAAAGGTGGCCATATAAGCAAGAGAACCTGTGTTCCAGCCACAGAACACACTTTTAAAAAGCTGACAGTGTGGCCTATTCCTTAAATCCAGCATGGAATGGAAAAGATAGGATAATCTCTAGGACACTGCTGGCCAGCTAGCCCATCCCTGGGCAAAGAGCCCTGGACCAGTAAGAGATTGTATCTCAATGACAGGAGGCGGAGAAAAGTAAGGAAAGATGGAAGGAAGAGAGAAAGGAAGGGAAGGGGAAAAGGAAAGAGACAGAGAGTTAGAGGAAGAGAAGGAGAGAGGGAGAAGAAAGGGAAGGAGAGAGAGGAAGAGAAGGAGAAAGAGAAGAAGCGAAGAGGAGAGAGGAAGGGAAACAGGAAGGAAGGAAAAACAAAAACAAAAGCTTACAAAGGTAGATGGCGTCTGAAGAGGAAACTTGAAGTCAATTTTGCATTGACTGCACACATACATGCGCACACAGACATAAACATGTGTATATAAATAATAATGAAAGTAAGTCTGTGGTGGAGACAGTTTAGTCAAGTGGAGAAACTCCAAATATCAGTTAAAAATTTGCTGCGTTTGTGACATAAATTCTGTAGCCTCTCTGGGACTGTTAACTCTAAAATGAGGTTGATAATATTTTATATCATTTGATTTTGGAGAGGTTTGAAGAGAGTTGAAAATTTCAGTAGCACAGCCTTGTGTCTAGAACACAATGAGTTTTTGAAGACAGCAAATGCTAGTCAGGGCTAAAAACAACTGCAAGAAGTTCTCTGGGGGGAGGATTTAGACATTTACCTTCCGACCCCAGCACAATTGGTGTTTCAGCCATCACTCAGTAATGCACCATTTCTTCCTTTCTGGCCATCCCTGTCCCCTCTGCTTTAAATACTGTCTCAAAGTGAGATTGTAGTCCTCATGCTACTAACCACTGACCTGTCGGCAGGCACCGTGCAAGGTCACTGCATGTAATTTCCAGAGCAGCAATGTCAGGCAGGTGTTTCTCTGCTTGAGGGTTGGGCCAGATCATATTTCATTAACCGTTCCCATGACACCTAGCACTGTGCCTTGAATACACCAGACCCTCATCATACTTATTCTGATGGACCAAAATTCAGCAGTGAGTTCCACTCCCTTTCTTTGTAATGTATGTAGTTGTTTGATTTATAAGAAATTTCCGTCCCTGGATGTGGTCAGCTATTGAATTTATGTGTGACAAGGAAGCCATCGAGTTTGGCCACTCTACAGTGATAAATGATGTGTGATTCATTTGGGGAAAGATAAACATTTTTCTCCTCAGACTTTGAATACCTGGGCCTATAGTTAGTTAATCAAGTCTACGCATGGCTGGAGATACAGGTTCAAAGGACTTCATCCAAAATCATTCCATTGTGTGTTTTCAGATACCGTCCTATTGCATATTGATAATATTTTCTATAGTCACTGCTCAAAAGTAGTGGACAAGCGAAATCAAGAGTTGATTCATCTTTAAAAAAAAACATCTGTAATTAATGAAGCCAGTTTCAAGCAGGGTGAACCAGGTCGCTGTGACCCTTTGAGTCACTAGGATATGCAACAATAAGTCACATCTCAGCCAGTGACTCTGGAGACTGTGCCTTTCTTAAAAGAAGTATCGAAGCAGGAAATAAAAATGGGCTGGCGAGATGGCTCAGCGGCTAAGAGCCTTGCCTGCTCTTCCAAAGGTCCTGAGTTCAATTCCCAGAAACCACATGGTGGCTCACAACCATCTGAAATGAGATCTGATGCCCTCTTCTGTCCTGCAGGCAGACACACAGACAGAATATTGTATTCCAAATAAATAAATATTAAAAAAATGGTTCTGGAAGATCTTATAGACTGGTCGAAGGGCAAGAACCCGCTGACACGGCAGGGACCATTGACCAGCTGCTCCCAGCCACCTACCCCGTGGTCCCACTCAGCGGCTTCCTACTCACGGAACTATGCTCTGCCTCCTGACATTGGCTTTAAGTCCCCAGTGGATGTTTTTCTTCACTCCCCTGCGAAATCACGTGAATCTGGGCAGGGGTGGGGGCAGGGGAGAGGAAGGTAGGTTCTGAACAATCCCAACTTCACTAGCGGGAGAAGTGGTCCCGTAAATCCTTTCAAAGGGGGCCCACCATGTCTGAGAGTCGGAAGGGGCAGCCAGGGACATGAATACGATTATTGTAATGGAGCAAAATGTGTGACCCGACAGGATTCCGTTAAACCCAGCAAAAGGGAATGCCACAGTTAACCCGAGTCCTGGGGGAACACTAAACCTGAAGCAGACTTATTAATTAGGGCTTCTGAGGGGCACAGAAAAGTAGTGGGCTTTCTCCTTTACAGAGTCAGCTCCATTCTAACCAATTGCTTTCCATGGGGGCAGCCCCTACCTCTTTCTTCCTTCTCGTTTAGCCAAACAGTTTAAGCTACACATTCACAAGGTCTCTGTTGTGCAAGCCCTTTCCATTCTAAAACAGCGCCGGTGGAAGAGTTTTTAAATGCGTCAGTAGGTGGCGCTCTTTCTTTTAATTTATTTCTCATTCCTTGGTCCCATATGTAATGAAATACCCAGCCAGACCTTTTGAATGAAAGAATAGGGATTTTAAAAAACGAAAACACATATACAATGTCCTCTTCTAATTGAAAGGGTATATTGTGAAATCATTACTGTCACAGAACATTTGTGTTTCAGGGAAATGCACATATATAAATGCATAGATATATACGAGCATATATACATATATGTGTCCCTAGATTGACTTTAGCAATTCGAAAGTGATAGTGCACATCTGTGTTCAATAACTTTTTGTTGGTAACCGGTGTTTAATATTTCATGTCAAATCAGGAAGAGTGATAGAAGGCTCTGGAACACAGGGCCGGCTGGCATTCCCGCCGCACAGCCTGCCCTTTGTCATACTCACCATAAGGAAACCTGCTGTAGCAAGGATGGAAAGTGCACCAGAGTGACTCCTTCCTTAGACCTTACATAAACTTCCAGAATACACTGTCTCTATTTTCTTTTAGAAATATGTCTATAAGCAAAGCGGGCTAAAGGACTTCCCAAGCTCATTATTTATTTAAGTGGGAAAGAGGGGGAGTGTGTGTTGCAAGGGGGGAGCTCTTGGAAGAAATTACAGCAGAATAAATCATCTTCTAGAACAAATCTTACCTTTGTTTCCACCAGTCCTCTTTCTGGCCCAGTTGGTACGCTGTGATGGGAAGTGGTTGCCAATGGAAACATGCCTTCGGATGGCTCACAATGAACTCTGGATAGTATTTTAACATCGGTGGTTGAGCAGGGTGGGCCTGGGAGTAGAGAGAAGCAAGGGATAACTTTTGAATAGCTGCAAGCTTCTTTCTTCGTGTCATCTTCCATGTGCAATCGAAACTCTAAGTACCGCATCGCCTTCACAACAGACGTGGGAAGAGACACCCACAATACGGTGCTTCTCCTTCAGCTGTCTGCAAGACTGGCCCTGAAAATCCCCACAGACCTAAACAGAGAACTCTCAACAGAGGAATCTAAAATGGCTGAAAGACACTTAAGGAAATGTTCAACATCCTTAGTCATCAGAGAAATGCAAATCAAAACAACTCTGAGATTCCATCTTATACCTGTTAAAATGGCCAAGATCAAAAACACTGATGACAACTTATGCTGAAGAAGTTGTGGGGAAAAGGGAACACTCCTGCCTTGCTGGAGAGAATGCTGGTACAACCCCTTTGGATGTCAGTGTGGTGATTTCTCAGAAAATTAGGAAACAACCTTCCTCAAGACCCAGTAATACCACTTTGGGGTATATATCCAAAGGATGCTCAATTGTGCCACAAGGACATGTGTTCAGCTATGTTCATAGCAACATTGCTTATCATAGCCAGAACCTGGAAACAACCTAAATGCCTCTCAACTGAAGAATGGATAAGAAAAATGTGCTACATTCACACAATGGAGTACTACACAGCAGAAAAAAATACATCTTGAATTTTGCAGGAAAATGGATGGAGCTAGAAAACATTATTTTGAGTGAAGTAATCCAGGCACAGAAATACAAGCATCACATGTATTCACTCATAAGTGGTTTTTAAACATAAAGCAAAAAAAAAAATCAGCCCACGAATCACAATCCCAGAGAACTTAGACAACAATGAGGACCCTAAAAGAGATATACATATTCTAATCTACATGGGAAGTAGAAAAGGACAAGATCTCCTGAGTCAATTGGGAGCATGAGGACCTTGGGGGAGGGTTGCGGGGGGAGGGGAGAGGCAGGGAGAGGAGCAGAGAAAAACGTAGAGCTCAATAAAAATCAATTTAAAGAAGAAAGAAAATCCCTACATTGACCTACATGGCTGGTTGGGCTGACCTCATCGTCTATTACATTCTGTAAATACAGGGGCCAGATCACAGCGTTTGCTTTGACTAGTACATAGTGCAAAAGGAATAGGATGTTTGAGATCTAGACATGCAGACATAGCTCAATTTGAGGGACTATGCAGCTGAAAAAAAAATGTGCGTTCCTCATGAAGGCCCCAGGGATAAGGGTGATCCCTTAGGACCAGATCTTACGTGAGCAGGTGCTCTTCTGTTCTAAAGAGAGCATTATAGTGACAGATCAAGGTCTTGAAGGAGTTCAGAGGATGCAATGATTTGCCTGTGGTGTCAATTCACCTAGCTTATGCTCAAAAATGGGAAGGATAAGATTAAGAAGGTATTTTATTTTGTAATGGCCCAAAATTTTAGTAATACCAGAGAAAACAAAGGAGAAGAAAATGCAGTATGTTCAGTGACTTATACATTCTATATTTTATCCTTCTGTGTATCTGCAGGCAAAGCTTAAGAAATCAGATAAAATCAGTGACACATAGAAGGTGTCCTTCCCTTGGTTTGCAAATGACATTGACACTAGCCAACAGTACAATTCCTTATGTTTGGAAAATTTTTGGTTTTGTTACTCCAATATCCCAGTATTACTAGAGCTGTTAGGGAAGTGTATCTTTCTTATCTGAGACAGAAAGAATAAAATACTGTGTGTTTGTGTTTGCCCAAAAAGCCAAACCACAGATTCAGTGGCCTTGGGACCACACCCTAACACTGTGTCTCTTCTCCAGTGGAAGGGAGCTGTGGTTGAATATTAGGCTTAGAAACTCAATGTGTAGCCAGCAAAGAGAGAACGCAATTGTTCTGGCAGATGTCCAAACAATAGAAGAATGCAGATAACAACCATGGGAAGGTATAGCCTTCTCTTTCTACAGTCGCCAGGGTGATCAGCCGTAGAGCTTAGTCCATGCTTTAAGTAAATCCCAGCTTTCATACCGAGTAAAAAGGGTGGGAAAAAAATGTCATCCTTCAAGAGTTTCCCATGAGGTGTGCATCTTAGTCATCAGTCTTAGATGTTGCCATTCAATGGAAGCTTCACATTTATAACCACAATTAGCTCCTTCATTTTCTCTGGGCTACAATGAAATCTGGGTGATTTGATGAACCATTGGACCGACTTGCCAAGTATCATGGTGCTGAAGTCAGGGGTATAAACAGAACTTGATGGCATGTCAAAAGAAAACAGTCTTTCTAGGGACACATCAAAATGCCCTGTCTGTCTCCTCCCCACCAGAGAGGACTTGGTGCTCCCATTAGGATCCCACCATTCAGAAAGCTGCCCCTCGTCTCATTAAATGCCTGCTCCAGCTGCCTAACAACAGATCAGAATCATCTGCCACACCTGCATCTCAGTGGCTTCTTTCTGCTACCTAGTCCATTAACCGTCACTTGAATTCTTTTCAGCTGAGCCCACTGACCATCTTTGAAGTCAAAATGAAAGGTGTACTTGGCTATTTCTTGCTCAGACCTTTGATTGAGCTCTGTCTGCTTCCTTTCGGACCCTTCTGATGTGGGAGTCCCCTCTGTGTGCTGTGATTATCGTTAGTGAATAAAGAAACTGCCTTGGCCTGTTTGATAGGGCCTGTTAGGTAGGGGGAGAAGACAGAACTGAATGCTGGGAGAAAGAAGGATGGAGTCAGAGAGATGCCATGCATCCGCTGCCAGAGATAGACATACTGAGTCTTTGCTTGTAGGCCGCGACCTCGTGGTGATATATTGATTAATAAAAATGGGATAAATTAATATGTAAGAGTTGGCCAATGAGAAATTAGAGCTAATAGCCAAGCAATGATTTAATTAATACAGTTTCTGTGTGGTTATTTCGGGGCTAAGCTAGTCTGGTGGCTGGGACGAACAAGCAGCCCCTCCTTGCATCACCCTTCCTTTTCAAGTCCAGGGTTATGCAAGAGGGAGAGGGAAGAGATGCAGAGTGCCATCCCAGACCAGTTGTCCTGTGCAGCACTGGCTCCTTCAAAATGACAGGAGCAAAGCTCGTCACCACAGGGAGGTGTGTGTGTGTGTGTGTGTGTGTGTATGTGTCTGTGTGTTTGTGTGTGTGCCTCTATGCTTGTGTAAGTGTCTTTGTGGGCCTATATATGTGTGTGGGTATATATGTGTATATGTGTATGTACATATGTGTATCTTTGTCTCTATGTGTATATCTATACATGAGTGTGTCTATATCTGTTCCTGTGTATATGAGCATGTGCTTGTATATGTGTTTCTGCATGTGTATGCATGTGGAGTATGCCTAAAAAGAGACAAACTGATTTTCACTTCTTAGTCATTTTTAGCAACATTTCCCCCAAGTTTAACATTTTGTTTGAACTTTAGGATGATCCATAATTTTCACTCTGATTCTATATTAAGATCATCTCTTTCACCTTTCTTATTTCACTAGAATTTTGCAGTTCATATATTTTTCTTCTTCAAAGTGACCTTTCATCAATCAAAATTTAAAATTGGTGTAAAAGTTCGCTTTCCCTTGGCCTTCTCTCTTCATTCCTATCACAGACATGAAGACTTCGAGCCTCCACCAATCACCTTGCAGTAATGTTCACACACACTGCTTATTGGCCCCTCTCGGTGATTTAGTAAGGATCGGGAAGTAGAAGAGTATTATTTCCAAATTCAGAAAGAAGGGAACTTTGGTACAAAGAGTTATATTTACCTATCTCTGAGACTACCCATGAGCAGGAAAGTCCATCATTGCTAATTGCGGATAGAAACCCACAGCGACAGTCCAAGTCACTTGGACAGCATTGCCAGCTATACCTGCTGAACATTTTTTCTTTCCATGAAGATTTGTGGGGGAAATGAGGAATGAACTGCGTGTATCTCTACCAGTGGGTTTGGGATGCCAACACCACACACAAACAAGGTCACAAGGGCCAGTGTGTGAAAGAGAATCTTGTCTGGCAGATGATTTGAAGTAAATTAACACTCCTATGTTTCTAAAGACTGCTCTGGCTGGCTATAATGATCAACTGAGTATAACCTAGAATTACTTGAGAAGGGAATCTCAACTGAGATATTAACCGATTCAATGGTATGGCTTATGGACAAACTTGTGGGGAATGGCCATGATTGTTATTGATGTAGGATATCCCAGCTACAATGACTGGCAATCATTTCTAGGAAGCTGGTACTTAACTAATAAGAAAATTCAATGTTTGTCTGCGAATCAGCAGTAAGCTACATCCTCCCTGGTCCCAACTGTGTTTCTTGGAGATGAAGTAACTTCTTGCCAAGTGGGTCTGCCTTGAGTCCTGACCATGATTTCCCTTAGTAACAGACTATGACTAAGTCAAACAAACCATTTCCAATCCCAAGCTGCCTTTGTCATGGTGTTTGTCCTAACCTCAGAAAGGAAACTAGGGAAGAAGCATTCTGCCTTTGCTGGATTTCATACACATCTGCCCTTCTCACTAAGATACACACATAATTATGTTTTTTGAGACAGGATTTTTCTGTAGCTTTGGAGCCTGTCCTGGAACTCCCTCTGTAGATCATGCTGGTCTCAGACTCACAGAGATCTTCTTGTCTTTGCCTCCAAGGTGCTGAAATTAAAGGCGTCCACCACCGCTGCCTGGCTGTGTTTCATTTTGAGACATGATCAGTCTAGTGTAGCCCAGGGTAGCCTTGAACTCACAGAGATCTTTATCCCAAGTGCTGTGATTAAAGGTGTGCACCACCACTACCCAACAACTAAGAGCTATTTAAAAAAAATTTTGAACTGTATTTACAAATCTATTTTTACTGAAAGTCCATGTTCTTCTATCATAGCAATGAGAACTGACAGCCCCAGTGAATATCCAACCCACTCAAAAATAAAATAAACATTACTGTGATTTCTCTCACTACACATTAGTGTTTATTGTTAAATAAATTATACATCGTGAAGTCTTTCTGGTGACATGTCCTCACC